TATATAGGTTTGGCCCTACAATATATTGTTCAAATATAGCATGATATGTCCACTTTAAGATGGAAGCATTTAAGGTGAACTTCGACCTCCGGGGGGATCTTACTATGGAGGAGTGGATTGAGCAGTGCCTATCTCCAGAAAAAAAAGCACCTAAACGACGACATGCAGAGCTACGTGAAGAGCAGGTAGACCAACTGGAAAAGTACCACCATTCAAAAGCTTTCTGATGCGGGTCTTGAAACAAAGCGGAGAAAAGATGACCGTTAGTGGCCACAGGTGCGAAAGCTCTCTCCAGAGCTACTGGAAGCCCAATCTCGGGGACCGGAGAAAGTGGAGCAATATTCTCGCCACGCCAAGCAACAGCCTACGAACAACCTCAACCTATACAAGTGACCACGTAAGCCATGCTACTGATGCTGGACAGTTTTTCAGTGGATGCACAATAAACAGCAACATACACATTAATGTAAATAAACAACCAAATAATGGATCAACGCTCTCTGTCTAATATGTTCGCTAGCTGTTAGTGTTGTTGCATAGCAACCACCTCGCATGTTTTGTGCAGAAGGCAACGGAGGGACTATTTTATTTTGAACATCATTATTTACTAATAAAAACTATTTAAATTGGAGTGTGTATTTTTATTTGATATTGCCACACTTGGTAACCGCTTTGCGTTGGGCCGAACCACGCCTCTTAGCTGTGATATAATGAGCATATACTACGGCCTGTCATGAGCTATTGCTTAAATATATGTTAAGGCAGCAGTAGATTACATTTTTTAAATATCAAGTACTGTCAAAATTATTATTAAGCATATCAATTAATATTTACCATGTCCCTGATTAGCTAACAATGAAATCATTTGAGTGTGACCTAAGTTCCTGCAGGTTCGAAGTTCATTTGAATGTCTAATCTATTGTATGAAAGTGAATCTCCTCACCTGCAGGGTGCGAGCCTGCTCCAGCGTCGTGTTTCGGTTCAGCCACGCTCGGCCCAGTCCAGATTTGGCTTCTTCCAGCTGGTTCAGAGCCTTCTGGATCTCTGCCTTCAAACCGTGCCCCGACCGGATCAGACCCAGACCGAAGTCCCGCACGGAGTCGATGCGCTCGGCACGGGCGTCGATCTCCGTCTGACGAAACAGAAACACACTCAAATTTAATCCTACTGTATCAACTAAGTCAGGGGTGTCCAAACTACGGCCCAGGGGCCAAATGCAGCCCGCAGCCCATTTTGAAACGGCCCTCAGCTAATTCAAAAGGAAATATGGCCAACAAATGAAACTTGTGCTTGCGATACATTTTACTATTATGTAAAAATATATCACAGTATTCATGTGTTAATAAGAGCCCAATTCTCAATTAAATTCAATCAATTAAAGTTGGAAACATTTTCAATCATATCTTAGTTGATACAAAACAAAACAATAACTTCATTACATAACAAGCTTGAAATACACCCTTCATATTTCTCCTTATTATAATCAATCTGAAGCTTATGTTTTAAGGGATGAGCTGCCAACACTCACGAGCATTATTTACCTACATTTGATTGATTTTGCAACTTATAACTGAACTTATGAGGCCATATACCTCTAGTGAGTGGCCCAGCCCTTCGTATATTGTTCTGTATGTGTAGGTTTGGACCCCCCTGCTCTTGCTATATCGCTCACCTTCCAGTCCTGATGCTCCACGATGAGCCGCTCTGCCTCAGCTCTGGTCTTGGGAAGCCCTTTCTCTGCCATCTCACCGCTCTGCTTCACACTCCACTCCAGCAGGAGGCGCTGGTTGGCTTTGAAGAGCTGCAGCTGGTGAGCCTCCTGCAGCTTCTCCTTCCTGCACAAATATATGAGATCACAGTCAAACAAAAACAGACAGACAGACACACACAGACAGACAGACAGACAGACAGACAGACAGACAGACAGACAGACAGACAGACAGACAGAGATACTTTATTGATCCCAATTTGGGGAAATTCCTTCGTCACAGAAGTATGTTCAGACTTTATAGTACAATACTTAAAGTGGAAAAGAGAATTGACAATTAAAAATAAAATGAAACATTTTAATATATTATATCACATCTGAACAATATAAACTAAACATTATAAAATATTCTGGATAATTACAATAAAAAGTCAAAAACACTACAGGTCTTTTATAAGAAAGGAGAAACTCAAACTATGGAGCAGCGAGTTCTCTTTAATGCTAAGGAAAGGTCCCAAGGAAAGGAAATGATGTCTCTGTGCAATCTACACATTCAAAGCTTTTAGATGACGTCCTCCTCACCTGAGTTTCACCTCCTGGTCCAGAGTCTTCAGAGCTTTCTGCACCTCCTTCTGTTTGCTCTTCAGCTTGTCGCTCATCACTGATCGAGCCTTCAGGTGATCTGAGACCTCCATCTCCAGAGCCTGAGAGAAGAGAGAGGAGGAGAGTAAAGTCTCTGAGACATTTTATGAATACATGTTTTCATTTATTTTGGGACCTCTAAGGTGTAATCTGATGGCCTCTTGGTTTTTATCTTTCACATAACATCATCTTCCTAAAGGCATTTTTTAGATCACATTAAACGCCAACATCTTACACACAATGTACGTATTGTATAAATTCTAACAGGCAAATATTAAGCTAAAAAGAGAAGAGCGAAGAATACAGACGATGACAATTTGGAATAAACAACAAATCCAAAGAAAAATAAACAAATGTCCTTAGAAATAAGTTTATGGTCGACTCTTGGTAACTCTACCTCTCCATCCATCCATCCATCTACCCATCCATCCATCCATCTATCCATCCATCCATCCATCTATCCATCTATCTATCTATCCATCCATCTATCCATCCATCCACCCATCTATCCATCTATCCATCTATCCATCCATCCATCTATCTATCCATCCATCCATCTATCTCCATCTATCCATCCATCCATCCATCCATCCATCTATCCATCCATCCATCCATCCATCCATCCATCCATCCATCCATCCATCCATCCATCCATCCATCCATCCATCCATCCATCCATCCATCCATCCATCTATCTATCTATCCATCCATCCATCCATCCATCCATCATCCAATCATCCATCCATCCATCCATCTATCCANTTAATTTGCTTTATAAAAACGGACAAGTCAAATCAAGCAATCTGATTGGTTCTTAGCCGTGATATAATGAGCGTATACCACGGGTAGAACTGTAGTTACAGTAACTACAGTTCTACCCGTGGTATACGCTCATTATATCACGGCTAAGAACCAATCAGATTGCTTGATTTGACTTGTCCGTTTTTATAAAGCAAATTAACACCCACCTAATGAAAGGTAATACGTTCAGATATGGCTTTGCCCAACTTGTCAAGATGATTGGCATATATATTCAAATAAAGACATACATTGTGGATGTATAGAGATAAATAATATACAATATAATAAGTGTAAAAGTATAACTAGAGGACCATAGTAAATTTGTTTTCCATTTTAACTAAAAACTTTACAGACACGGCGTTCACATTACTATGTCGCAAATGTTACACATTGCAAGCACAGACTGTATAGTAACTATAAAAGCAAAATGACACTCTATGAAAGGATGCATCACACTGCAATTAGAAAACAGAAGACAGTGATCTGATTTGAGATTTGTGTTTATTATGGTGCATGATAATAATCCGACTGTAGCTTTGTAGTCTGGATCCAACACCTCTGATTTATTTGTTCTTTCTGGAAATATAATACGTCTGGCGCTTTGCTCATTGATGACTGTTTCACTGCTTGAAGAAACAAAAACACAACAACAAACCAATCAGAGATTTCTAGATGCAATAAAGGATGGGGAAATCATTTGTGCTAGTGCCTGAGTCTATCCCAAAAGAAAATGGAGATGGGCTTGGATGAGATTGACATTTGCAAGTCAAATTTAAGGGAATAACCCAATCTAATTGTTTGACAAAAATGGCTTTCCTAATTTCCAGTGATGGTCAATTTAGTGCTTTCTCAAACACAACCAAAATGTGTCCAGTGAACGGGAATGGTGCAAATAGTTTTAAACATAGACTAAAACAATAAAGTATAACAAAAAAAATAGCAAAGCTTGTTGAGGTATATTTAACTCAAAATCTCCTGAATTCAATATATACACTGTCACAAGAGAAACAAAGTAATGAGCTCACATAAATATGTACATTAGTAAATTAGTATTTATGTTCTGATTTAAAAAAACATATTTTCATCTTATTTCAACACAATAACCTAAAATAGACTCTTTTTCTTTTCTTTTTCACTTGCGCCCCCTCACCTATGTTGCATGGTGCACAGACAGGGATCTGATGTATAATTTTCTCTGCTAATTACTACTCATCACCCTCGTTACGGTGCATGCACAATGCATGCGGTTGAGTCTGGGTGATGTACGGTCCTCCGTGAGGGGTACGTCTGCGTCTTGGCTCTCAGACGACAAACGTTAATTGAGTGGAGCCTCAGCACTATGTGATCCAGCTGGAAGAAAGTTATGTAACACTCCCAGAGCAAAATGAGAGCTGACACGATTCTAAACAAACTAGAGCATCACATAAGTGAGTCACCAGCCTTCGTATAGATAAAAAAAACAAGTCTACAAGAAAACTACTAAATAGAATACCTTGTGAGTATGTGGTACGGCTGCACAATTAATCAACATTTTATTGAAATTGCAATACGGACAAGTGCAATATTTATTAAAGGCAATATCATCATTCTGAATGAATATTGGTGCTGCAAAAAAAGTCAATACCTTCAAGCTGTATTCTACATATTAAATACAAAATCATTGTTTTGGAGATTCTCTTAAAACATTAAACCCTGATCATTTTTTATACTTTTCACTGATAATGTAAATAAAGTTTTGGAAATATTAATTTTGCAAGCATAGGACCCAGGTTAGAATCCAGCATGGGATCATTTGCTCTGTGTCATCCCCTCTGTCTCCCCCTTTCATCACTCTCACTTAAAAACAAAGAAGGCACTAGTGGCCTAAACAATCTTAAAAAAAAAGTGAATTGTCTCTGAATATCGATATAAAATACTGATATATTGCAATATCAGTCAAAATAATTTATGTTATCCAAATAGTGCAGGCCCGGTATGTATGATGAAAACTTTAGATTGTTTTCCTTTTAATTTCTTTGTACTAATCTGTAATTAATATGTATATTTCTTGCCACCACATACAGAACCTGAGATTATTATTATTTGTTATTAGCAGAGGTGGGGGACTCGAGTCACATGACTTAACTCGAGTCAGACTCGAGTTGCATATTTTTGGACTTGAGACTTGCTTGACTAACATTGATAAAAGACTTGACTTGACATTGACTTGGTATTCATGACTTGAGACTTGAATTGACTTGAGACAGATGACTCGAAAGGACTTTTTAAAATTAAATATTTCCATTTGTTTTCGTATTGTACGGAGCCCCTAAAGGGCAATAAAAAAAAATAAAAAATCTCGGAGAAAGTTACCGGAGCGCCAAGTAGGAAGTGGAGCACACAGGAGACAACCGTTTCATTGCAGACTGTAATGTTTATGTTGGCAGTGCATACATTATTTGAGATATATTTTGAACTCGGACTCTCATTCACTTCATAAAATCGCTACAGCACCAGGAGGCAGCGGACGTGTAACCACGCCTCTGAGAAGTGCAGCACCAGTGCGCAAAGAGCTGTGCCTTTTACGCAACGCCTTCACTGTGTTTACTTTCATTAGAACAGCTAAAGAGTGACTGCGGGCTGCTACGTTTAACACACACACACACACACACACACACACACACACACACACACACACACACACACACACACACACACACACACACACACACACACACACACA